CGTGGTGGCGCGTGCCGGGGGCGGCTGCGGACAGGGCGGCGGGGGCGCGCGGGGGCTCTGGGGCCGCATATTTGGGGAGGACGTGCAGCTGTTTATGTGGATGAGGATGAGGATTTGGTCTTGTTCGAGAAGGGAACGATCGGCCCTTCCCACTCCGGGCGCTCTCGGAGGAGGGGGCGTCGCCTGCATGTGGGAGTCGCCGAACGCAGGGTGCAGGCGGGGAGAGCAGAGTTGTGTCTAAACTTCGGAAGTGAGCGTGAACGAAGGTCAAGGCCAGCAGCCTCCCCTGCCCCACCCCCAGGCGCCCACGGACAGGGCAAAAGCACCACCACCAATGCCCATCTTCCACCTTCCCACAGAGGTGACTTGAACCTCTGTCTGCCAGACTGTCCGGCAGGAGGCCACGAAGTTTTTTGTCTTTTTTTTTTTTTTTTGGTCACTATGTGACCTTGGACAAGTTACTTATCCTCTTGAGTTAGGCTGGAAATGATTCCTGACTTGTGGTTCTCCTGGGGCAAAGCATAGGGATCAGAACTAAAGGTGCCCTGTAACTGCCTGGGAGGTGTTAATGAGTCATTTTTATTTTCCGGTGTATTAAAAACCCGTGGGTAGAGGCAGAGACAGCCTAGCTGCGGCTGGAGAATGACCAGGGCAACGTGGAGGTCCCTGGCTAGGAAAGCATCCCCAAGGGACCTGGAAGCGGGGCATAGGTGGGTAAGGGGCCTTTTGCTGGTGGTCAGAATTTAGCTGGGAACCTGAGTTCACCTCTTTGCTCTGGTGAAAGGAGGAGGAGGAAGATGAAAGGAAAAGGCTCTTGCTCTGTGACAAACAAGGGCAGCTGCCATCTTTCCCACTGTAAGAAGGCTGGGCTTTAGTTGGCCCTCCCTCCCTCCTGAGGGCCAGCAGGAGCTCTGGACACTCTTCAAAGGAGGGGATTCTCACTGGCTTCTCCTCCTGCTGCTGGCCTGCTCCCTTTTATAATCCGGAACAGGAAGGCAGGTCAGCCACTTGCGCTCAAGGCAATAGCTTTCTCTGAGCCATGTGGGATGAACCATCTCTGGCAATGAAGGCCAGGCAGTTGTCTGAGACATCTGTAACTTCACTCTAATCCCAAGGATGAGGCAGATGTCATCTTTCCCTCCCTCCCTCCCTCCCCCCACTCTTTCTTTTTGCCGGTCCTGGGGCTTGAACTCAGGACCTGGGTGCTGTCCCTGAGGGTTTTGTTGTTGTTTTTGTTCTTTTTGCTTTTTAAATAGTTTATTGGTGCTAAGTGACTTGAATCTTTCCTGCCCAGGCTAGCTTTGAACCATGATCTTCAAATCATAGCAGCTTGAATAGCTAGGCTTACAGGCATGGGGCTCCAACACTCTGGGCCTGGATGCTGTCTCTTAGCTCATGGCTAGTGCCCTACCACTTGAGCCACAGCACCACTTCCAGCTTTTTTCTGTTTATGTGGTGCTGAGAAATTGAATCCAGGGCCTCATATGTGAGGCAAGCGCTCTACCACTGAGCCACCTTCCCAGCCCCATGGTCCCCTTTCTTAATGATTTACAAATTCTCTTCTGAAGCAGAACATGCAAGATTGGAAGCTAGGTCAGAAAGTGTGCTGGAATGAATTGTCTCTACAACCCTTGATGCACATGCAGTTACCACAAAGTGGACTTGTGACATTGAAAAACCAGTCAATTACTTTCAGCCAATTACTGGCTGAGGCCAGTAGGTGCAAGTACAGACCTAAGTGAGTCCCTTGGTGGGGTGGAGCCAAGTGATTCTGTTCTGGGCTCAAGTGGCTGGTAGCAAAAACTCCAAATAGCAATGACTGACACTGGGCACTGATGGCTCATGCCTGCAATCCTAATTACTCAGATTGAGATCTGAGGATTTAGATTCAAAGTCAGCCTGGGCAAGAAAATCCATGAGACTTATCTCTAAATAGCCAGAAATGGTGCTATGGTTCAGAATGGTAGTTTTGAACACAAATGCTTAGGGACAGCACCTAGGCCTTGAGTTCAAGCTCCAGGACAGGCACAAAAAGAAAAAAAAAAAGGAAATAAAATTGGCTAAGATACCCTAAAACATGCCCCCCCACCCTAAATCTGAACCTGATCTCAGTACATTCTCCTTATTTCTAGCTCTGTTGTTTATGCCAGACACTTGTAAGAGCAAAGATAGTGACCCACATATGACTAGCATGTTCCAATGGCACTTTATACTATACATGGATTTCACAAAATTTCTTTGAGAGGACTGTGGTCTGGCCTCACAACCTAGTTCTCCTACTTATGCCTCTCAAATAGCTGGAATTGCAGGCATGCATCACTACCACACTTGGCTACATTCTAGACTTATTGAATATCTATAATGTGCTAGGTATTGAGAACACAGTGAAATATATTCATGTACAGGAACACAGGTCTCTTTTTCCTTCATGGAGCTTACATTCTGAGAGTACAAAAAATAGACAAATTGGTAATTTTAAAAAGATAACTAGGCACTGGTGGTTCATGCCTATAGCCCTAGACTGAGATCAAAGTTCAAAAGCCAGCTTGGGCCAAAAAAATCCACAAGACTCCATCCCCAATTAACCAGCAAAA